GGAATGGGGAGTTAAAATCGATTTTAAGTCATGTACACCGGGGACCACTTAGAATCGATTTCAAGTGACCAAATATCCGAATCCTAGATTGATGGAAGCAACACTTAAAATCGATTTTAAGTGAACCTTGAAATCAAAATCCAGTGTTTTTCATATCTATATGTATATGCGTATGTATATAGAGCTGTTTACTCGTGTAACTATATGCGTATATATATACGTGTATGTATGCATGCATGCATGCATGCATGTATGTATGTATGCATGCGTGCCTATAGAGATGTACACACGCATACAAGCATGCAAGATGCTACAGGAGCACGCGCGCAAAAAAACCGTGCATGCGTTCATCTCTGCTTCCGATCAGGATTTCATGGCACCGAAGCCCTTTCATGGGACATCAAGCAACCAGCTTTTGCTCTCAGTCTTCCTGACCTTTCTGAGAGACTCGCATCTAGAAACACACTTCAGCATCTGAATCATACACTCTTCATAGGACAATGTTCGCAACCCCTCCCTCTGTTGGCATTCCGCTTCATCTGCAGTGAAACGCATGCAATGTATTGAAAAATGGGGTGCCATCCCTTACCTACCCCCGAAATGCTAGAATCCCTGTTTTCGGGTTTTTTGAAATCCTAAAGTTTGATCCCTAAAGCCTCAGAAACTGCTTCCCGCAAACATCCCCACACCTTAAACATCCATGAGTAAACTCTATATCACCCCTGGCAACCCTTTCAAGGATTCATAACATGATGCCATGTGCTATGTAGCCCCGTAAACCCTAAACCCTGGTGCCTCCGGAAGTGCCGGCTGGCCCATCTGGAACATGGTTCGTTCCCCCGCGGATTAGTGGAATGGCCCCAGAGCAGGTTTCCATTGTCCCTGCTGAATAGGCATGGCTCTGAGTTTCATAGGTTGTGGCCCACAGACTTTTGAGCAAGCTTAAACTCTGGGACTCAATACTTGGCCACTTTCTTCCCTTTAGAATCCGTACACATCTGCAACTAGCATACACTTCCCAAAAGCCCCAAAACTCTAATTCAAAGTAAATAGACCCTATCATTATGTCTAGGGGACCGTCAAGTAGTCAAATGACTTAGCCATACACGGTGTAGGCAGTGTATGGTGTTGGGTTTAGGGGAGGTCCATGGGTACTTGGGTTAATGTAGTAAATTTCACGTTGCCCCTAACCAAAAATGACCGGCAAAAACCTGATTGGAGAGTTGTTTCCGGGGAGTCCCAGTAGTCGGTGTAAACCCCAAACCTTCAACCACGCTCAGCAGACTGAATTCCTAAAACGCTACATTAAGGCATCCAGGTCGTAAATTTTTTGAGCCTGTTAGGTCAGGAAATTCTGCGGCACGAAGCCCTCAAACCCTCACACCATAATCCTGAACACTGAAATCATCATCATGACTACCTACCCAATCTCTCCAATGTAGTCACTTTTGCGGGGGTCCTTGAAACATGACGAAAAATACAATTGGAGGCTCCAGGTGACCCCTGTTTCCGCCTTTACCGCAGGCCGCTTGCGAGGCCTCAGCTCGCCGAAGTGGGGGTTTAGGTTGTGAAGATATCAGACCAGGAGGTACAAATCCGACTTGAATGGGTACATTGGCTACTCTAGGTACACCTTCAACCTGATACCCCACAACCTCAGAGCCCTTCCCTTCAGAGGGCGTTATTGCGGGATAGATGTATAGGCATGTATGGATATATACCTAAACCTTAAACTACAAATCCGCCTCAAGGAGTCCCGTGGGTTAGTAGGGGGTTTCCACAAATTGGGGCCCCAAATTAGGTCCGGATATACTATGATCCTTCTTATATGGACCCACAGAAAAGGGACCCCTTTTTTTTTCGGGAACGCCCATATTGATGTAGTTGGGGATTCAGGGTTTGGAGCTTAAGCTGGGAGTGTAGAGCCTACCCTTCCGCAGACATGAAAATGGCGCGTGGCGGGGTGAGGGTTTAGGGTTTAGGATTTAGGGGCTTGAAGCTTGGGATGGCGGGCATTACCGGGCATTGGCTGTTCCAGTTTCAGCCGATATTTAGAAGACTAGCCGAAGCAAGCATCGCTGAATTTTGAGAACAGGGCTGAGGGTGTAGTGCTAAACTTCAATCATCAAAGGATCTGGATAGTCCCAAACGCACGCTGTCCTATGACAGGGTCCTAATTTACAAAAATCCTCCTATATACCATGCGAAGGAAGCTCCAGCTGCTGGGCATACCCTATACCCTAAGCTGTGAAAAGGACTGGCCTGTCGGCTTTGGCTCCTAGCCTTTGTCACCATGTCAGCCGGACAACATTCCGCCCCATGTATCACCCAACCCTCCACCTCAAAACTCTCTCCACTGGCATGCAACCGCATATTGCAAGTTCGCAAAATATGGGCACCCGGAGCGACCCTATAGATGTCGCGTCGTAAGAGGATGAGGGTGTCCGTTCGGGACTACATCGGAGGTATGTTGGTTGGAGCAATGCGTGCAGCACGCGTGGACAGCTTTGGAAATGCTCCCTTCACGAACCATCTCATGGTATGCATCTGGCTGTGACAAGCGACGAAAGACATTCCCCCATATGTCATGCCTGATAATAATAATAATGGTTGATACTTATAATCCTGCATGACCTTAAGTACCCTCAACTTTGGGAATGATGGGACTATAGTATAGCAAGGCCACGCATGAATTGTTCAATCAACTGTAAGTGAAGAAATTCAACATCCTGAAACATGGGAGAGATTGACCGAAAAGCTATTTCCTCAAAGCCTAAACCCTGACTCCTGAACCCTGAGCCCCTGAACCCCATACCTTAGCCCACATTACCCCAAGAAGAAAAAAGGATCCCTTTTTCATGAATATAAGGAATCCCATACCCCAAAAAGTATAAAGCGCGTCCTTGTCTCAGAGCTACCCCTAGCGTTATTGCGTGAGGTAACCCCTGCCAAAAAGTATAAAGGATCCCTAACATTGATCCAGATACCCTAAACCCCTACATCCCAAACGTCCACGATTAGCGCCCTCAAGGCATCCTTCCACAAGGCTTCTCCAACTCACATGAGCCGCAAGGTCGCGAAACATTTAACACCCCCCCTCCACCCCGAATTTCAGATATTTCCTAAAACAGACCTCATGTTTTTGGGGACATAGTGAGGCTAGGGTGAGGAAAGTCAGGGCCGAGGGTCTGTAGAGTTTGGGGTGTAGGCTTCCCCAAATGAGGAGTGTCTCTTGAGTTACAACCAAACATGATTGTTTCCTTCCTGTAAACCCCCTAAAGCCGAAAGGAGACAATCATCCTTCTCTATGTTGTGGACTCTCGTGACCCAATGTAGCACGAGAGTCTTCTTCGTGTCGATGGAGGCATCGCCGAGCATGACGCAGCTCCACCACCTGCTTCAGGACTTCCCAGCTTGCATAGCTTTGCGCAGCCAGACTGATGCATTAGTTAGTAAACATTGTGTAAGTCATCGTAAACAAATTCCAATTCAAGTCATCAGGCGATGGTCTATATGCCCAGTCTACGTGAAGTTCATAGGTAAGAAGGAAGGCCTCCAACAAACAGTGTCCACCAGGAAAAATGGCAAGCATACATCCGTCCTTTCACATGCCTGTGCTCAAACTATAGGCGGTTGGGTGGACCACATGATGCATGGGTGCACGGAATCCTTGTACGCAAGTTGTGCGTCCACCCATTCTTTCCAACGTCCGGCTTCCAAACTACAGCAGGAAAAAAGCCAGCAAGAAAGGTCGTTCGTCTTACTTGGAAGTTCATAGGTAGTTCTACTATGGAAACTTGCAACCAGGCCATAAGAATTTGATGTACACTAACTATGCTTCTCAACCCAGAAATAAGTACCCCCGAACCTCCAAGTACGTATAGCTCCGGAGTGAATGCGGTCTCGCTATCAGTGCCCCTGCTGCAGAATTTTGCTACTATCATGTAGCACATCATTAGGGTTTAACAAGCCGCTGATCCAAAACGCGATATTGCAACAGCAGATGCGGCAGTGAATGGACAATCAGATTCTGAAGTTCTCTAGTACTATCATGAGGCCAGTATGGGGCCCCTGCAGTATATATGCTTCCACACTTAGAATTCGCAGAATTCTCGGGCCCTGGGATAAGGATTCTTCAGGGCTACTCTGGCATGAGGAACCAAAACTATTGTTTCCGAAGCACCTTTAGATCAACCTGAAGCCCAGACCCCTAGCAGCTCTATGCTTCAAACACCAAGCCGCACCGGATAAAAGGACTTCCGCCGGCCTCCGCCAGAAAGCGTGGAAACACCTGCGTACAGCACGGAGACCCGCCTAATCGCCTAGGATTCGGGTTGTAATTTTCCACAAAAAGGGCCTTTTGACGACTGTACATGAGCCACAGTCTAAAACTCCTAGTATCCCCTGAATATCCCATATAGTAGTCCCCCATATACTGCCTTATATGACCCCCTTTAAGAAAATTGGACTACAGCCCACATGACAACAGTCTCCTACCCCTCAAGAGTACATGCACCTCTTATCATGGCCCAACCCTAAACTCTAAAGCCCAGGTTCTTGGCTCCTTAAGTAGATAGAGTAAAGGGGGAGATATTGGGAGTGCAATTCCCTCCCTTTGAACAGGGGTCATACAAGAGTTATGCGGCGTTATGTGTGGCACTATAGTCCATATCTGCTCCTTCACAAAAATGCTGATGCTACCTTCCGGCTCCAAATAGCAAGTGATTTTGCGGCTGTAGAAGTAGTCTGGACGGGACCCTGAGATACGTAGCAGCCATGTCCGGATTTCTGGACCAATGTCCTACCTTGTGACCCTGGACTTTTCAGGCGGCGCCACGCTGAAACGTAACCAGCAACAGACGACGGTAGTCATAAGATAAGATATCCTAGGTAGACAATCGTTTCTGGAGAAGCAGGCGTGTAACTAGACTAGAGAATCTCAACCCTACTGCCCGAACCCTAAACCCTGAACGAAGTCCCCAACAGCTACGCCCCCAAAAGCTACAATGTCTATGTAAAGTGCCCCTCCAATTGCGGACCCTTAGCGTCGCAAAACCTATCCATCAACGGATACCCTGAATTTTGACGTTGAAGGCCAGAGGACTCATTAAGTAATCATTAAGTATACTGAGCCATATCGTAACCCCGGTCATCCCCATCTTTACCTTAACTACGACGTCTTCCTGACCTTTCTAAGAGACTCGCATCTAGAAACACACTTCCGCATCTGAATCATACACTCTTCATAGGACAATGTTCGCAACCCCTCCCTCCGTCGGCATTCCGCTTCATCTGCAGTGAAAACCATGTAACGTACTGAAAAATGAGGTGCCATCCCTTACCTACCCCCGAAATGCTAGAATCCCTGTTTTCGGGTTTTTTGAAATCCTAAAGTTTGATCCCGAAAACCTCAGAAACTGCTTCCCGCAAACATCCCCACACCTTAAACATCCATAAGTGAACTCTATATCACCCCAAGCAACCTTTTCAAGAATTCATAAAATGATGCCATGCGCCATGCCATGTAAACCCTTTGCTATATAATTTCAGTTGTAAGTCCCTAAAATCACTGGCGCTCCTTCTTGGCGTCGAAAAGCTCCTCCCGGGCTTCCTCCGCAGTCAGGGTTATCCCGAAAAACATGGGTATGCTGGCTGTTCTGTTGGGCCTTCTGGAGATCTATACGCCCAGAACATCTATATGTCCCTCTTCAACGACCCTTTCCATCCCTTAAACCCTGAACATTAAGCCGCAAGCCAATACCCTTGGGCAGATTAGGCCCAACGTTTTGGTAGTTCTATTCAATATCGCATCAATCCAAAGCTTCCTCCTAATAACTGGAAAATGCAGGCCCAGGACCTCGTGGCCCTTGTCCCTTACACTGACTCCTACACTCCAAGTCCTGAGCCCTTCACCCCCTATTTTCTTTCTGTCCCCACAAGTCTCTACACCCTAGACACGGGCTTAGGATTTAGGCGTCTAAGTTTTCAGAGGTTTAGGGTTCAGAGTTTTCAGTTTAGCGTTTAGGGTTAAGGGCAAGGGTTTAGGGCTGCCTCCAATATGCAATCCTTGCATGTGGCAGATACTACAATCTATATAGGCGCGCATGTGTGTGCGCGTTACAACCTGAGCCCTAAGCCTTAAAACGCGTGTGTGTATATATATATACATGGCAGTTTCCCAAAATCAGGGGACCCCAATGTAGAGCCCAAAATACTATAGTCCTTATTATGGGGGCCATCAAAAAGGGTACCCCTAATTTTGGGACACCCCCATATATGTATGCATACATACAATGCGCCCTGGAAGACTGGCCCGCAGATCAGCCCTGAAAATCAGATCCCTGGCCCGGCAGTCCTCCATGAGCTTGACCCAGTACAGGTTCTTAGCCACATTCTGTTCCAAGAAGGCCTGAGGTGGCGCAGCAGGCAAGGGCTGCAATCTACCTTGGGTAGTTGGATTGGAGCACCCTGGTGTCTGCATGGGGTTTGTCAGACAATGAAGGTAGCACGGGGAAGATACAGGGCTGTTATAACGGACATAAATGGATATTATTTGAAATATAGCTTGTTCCAAAGTAAGTTCATTAAGGCCCTTAATTTAATGCAATCAGATGCTCGTTGTGATTCACCTTAGCTCAAACAAGGTCGATAATTTCAAAGAAGCTGGCATCCTCTTCTTGGTTGCCAGCGTACGAAGAGATGCCAGCTTAACAAGCAATTACCAATGCCCTGAGGCGATGAGAACAATTTGTTAAACACCTGCAGAACATGTGAAGTGGTGAAAGGGGGGGGAGGCTATAGTATTCATACAGCGTGCGCCTTTGCGTCATTGCTACAATGAAGAGCTACTTCTACAGAAAGAGTCATCAGGAAGATAGCTTTTTAATGTGTGCTAAATCGAAATGCCAAAATGCCTCGTGCACACCGCGGCAACAGCAGCAAGCTCGGGGTGTACCAATCTGATACCACTTACAGAACTTCCAGTCTCGAATGGGCCTTTCTCAAAATCAGCGTCCCCTATTGATGCCATGGTGTACCTACCACCAGCACTTGCATGAGGACCCCAAAGAAAGGGTCCTGTTTCAAAACACTCTCCCCGCAAAACAAGAACGAAAAAGATGCCCACACAAACACCATAAACCCCTAGTACCCAATGTAAACCCTCTGCTATATAATTTCAGTTGTAAGTCCCTGTGATCAGTGACGCTCCTTCTTCAGCCTGTCCACGTCCTCTTCTCTCTCCTCCACAGTCAGGGTTATCCCGAAAAACATGGGTATGCTGGCTGTTCTGTTGGGCCTTCTGGAGATCTATACGCCCAGAACATCTATATGTCCCTCTTCAACGACCCTTTCCATCCCTTAAACCCTGAACATTAAGCCGCAAGCCAATACCCTTGGGCAGATTAGGCCCAACGTTTTGGTAGTTCTATTCAATATCGCATCAATCCAAAGCTTCCTCCTAATAACTGGAAAATGCAGGCCCAGGACCTCGTGGCCCTTGTCCCTAACACTGACTCCTAAACTCCAAGTCCTGAGCCCTTCACCCCCTATTTTCTTTCTGTCCCCACAAGTCTCTACACCCTAGACACGGGCTTAGGATTTAGGTGTCTAGCTTTTCAAAGGTTTAGGGTTCAGAGTTTTCAGTTAGCGTTTAGGGTTAGGGGCCAGGGTTTAGGGCGGTCTCCACATATGCAATTTAACATGAACTGCACTTGGGAATTTCCAATATTGGAGGTCGCCCTTGCATGTGACAGATACTAAAATCTATACAGGCGCACGCGTGCATGCGCGCGTTACAACCTGAGCCCTAAACCTTAAAACGTGTGTGTATGTGTATATATATATATATGTATGCATACATACAATGCGCCCTGGAAGACTGGCCTCGAGGTCAGCTTTGGCCTGGCCACCCAGAGATGCTCAAGCAACAGCTTACAAGCTGTTGGGGCTCAGGGTTTAGCCGTTTGGGGTTTAGGGGGGTGTAAAGGTTTAGGGTTCAGGGGGTTTAGGGTTTAGGGGGGTGTAAAGGTTTAGGAGTTTAGGGTTGAAGGTTTGGGTCCTTGCAAATGCTCATGTTACTCCTGCAGGCACGGTTTTGGGGGTTTGGGGATTTTACGGCTGCCATGCACAACTCTTTTCTGTGCAGTCCACGGACATGAGTTAATTGGCAGGTCAGTCGCTGCTTGCGGCCTGAGTAAGAAATCCCTCTATCTTTCCTGTTGGACAGCTTTATGCAGGCGAAAAAGCATTTTCAAGAATCACGTCAGGAGAAAGAAGCTTTAAAAAGTTACGGTCACCTCTTCTTAACAAGTTGGTAAGTCTGACTCTACCTTCATACACCGAAAAGACTCCATAGTGGATAGGGTCGGCTTGGCCAAGTGCTGATGATTGTGGCCAGTGGCTGAAACCGCTGCGGCGCTAAGCTTGAGATAGCCCCACACCCGTAAATCAAAAAGTCGTCCAGACCATTTGTTTCCAAAATCTTCGCACCTCAGGAACTTTGGGAAGGATTTAACCATAGGCATGTAACTTCCATACCCTAACCTACCATAAGATTTGAATGTTTGGGTTTAAGTGCATGCTTCCTGGCACCTCGAAGCATAGCAAGCTGGTTCGCGCGGGACCAAAGGATCTCCCCTTGAATACCCAAGCTCAGGAGCTCCAGCTTTGGGGCTGTTCCTACCAGGTGGAACCCTCTAAAACCCCCCCTACCCAGCCTGCAGTGGTGGTCAATCCGGTCAGGCCCCACCGAGCAACAACTAAATACCGTGACTTCCGAGGCTAGACTGGGAGTAAGGGTTGGTAAGCATGCTGTACGCAAGGAACCTCACATGTGAGCTGCAATCTGTATTTCCACATAGATACGTAATGGACAGGCGCTTAGCTTCAGATATCTTCAGGCAGGATGTAGGACTTGCAGAGTTGAGGAGCCCTGCGTATGCAAATGAAAGGCTACAAGGCTCCGGATTTGAGTCCTAGGCAGAACACTGAAAGAATTCTGACAATGGGGCTCAGGAATTTAGCGGATTCGGACAGCGCCTAGATAATCACCAATATCATGTTCAGTTCTATTTGAAGTACCCTATACAACAATTATAAAAGGAGTCTAAGACCATACTATTGGTCATGGGGTTTAGAGGTTGAGGGCTTCGGCATGGTATACTGGATAACAACCTCGCACGGTATCAAGGGCAATGGAAGGGAAAATGGAAACTACCAAATTCTTTAGGGTTTGGGTCCAATAACAATGACCCCCCCCTAATTACAGGGACTCAATGTATAATGGTACTATCATGGCACTTGGGGTTGTTGATCATCAGGGGGTGGAGATTTTAGTGTGAGATCCGCCTGCAGCTGCGTTGCTGGTACGGAACTTCAATTCCGTTACCATGATACACGTATAGAATATGTAACTGGGCCGGTTTCCTTATCCTGGTAACTTGGTTTAAATTCTTTAACACTCCTAGCCCTATGGAACCTCAGTTTCAACTTAAACTTCCACCTCCTTCATTCTTAACCCCAATCCCGAAAATTTAAAGCTTAAATCCCAAACCCTAATCCCCAAACCCCAAACCCCAACCCTAAACATTAAACCCTACATCCAAATCCGAATCCTAAGCCCCAAAATCCTTGACGCCTAACCCCAAAATCCCAAGACCCTAAACCCTAATTCCTAAACCCTCGTCGACAGCAACCCAGAAAGCCATGCATCTGAGCTATAGTTTAACCTCCTAGTCTCCCCATTGATAACCCCTATCATACTCCCCGATTTTACCTCCTACATACATAGCCCAACTTTACCCATTCCGTCGTGGCCTCGCGAAGCACACTCCCCGACTGCGCAAGTTTAGGGGTTACGAGGTTTGGGGCTTCTGGGTTTCAAGGTTGGGGGTTTAGGGCCTTCAGGTTTTGGGGTAAAACCGTTAAAGTCCAGGCCGTCATCCCTGCAAGAGTTAGAGCAGAAGACTGCGCAGGCGAGTTTTCAGGACCCGTAAAAAGGCTTCAGTGATGTAAAGGGGATATATATATATATATACAGATTAACATAGATATATGTATATTTATATTTGTAGGATTCACGGTTTAGGGGTTTAAGTGCCTGTAAGGGCTCCTTTGAGAGTTTGGAAGTTGGAAGTTTGGGGTTGTTAGGGGATGCTTTAAAGTTGGGGGGTTTTCGATGTAAAGGGTAGCTTGATTTCAGGGGGCTGCAGGTCGGGACCCCTTTACAGCGGTTGTAGGGATGTATAAATATTCCATGTAAATGTTTATATGCATATAGACATAGAGGGAATTTGGGTTTAGGGATAGAGCCACACACACATATCTTTTTACCCGTATGTAGCAGGGTTTCAGGATTGAGCAAGGGAGTATAGGGTAGAGGATTTCAGGTGTATGGATTCGGGCGGGGATCGGTGAACTGCTGAAGGGCAAAGCTTAATAAGGGTTTAGGATTTAGCGTTTAATGTTTAGGGAGCTGCTCCGAAAGCTTGTAAACCCTTGAAACCATGCACTAACCCCCAAGCCTCAAATCTTGCCCGAGGGAGAGTGGAGAACAGCCCGGAAAGAAATTGAGTTGAGGATGATCCCATACCTGTAACCCCAGTTACCTATAGTTTGAAAATTATGTTCTGACCCTTTCGAACCAGCACGTATAACCTATAACACTACAAAGTACTCTTGATACCCCTCAACTTAAGGCGTAGGGTCATGGTTTTAGGGTTGAGGGCTTACCATTTCAGATTTGAATTTTTGGAATTTGATGGTTTTGGAATAAGGGCTTAGGGGCTCTTAGGGACCGTTCAACTAGGTTGTGAGGCTGTAAGGACATTGAGGCGATATATATATATATATATCTATACATATATATATATACATACATATAAATATATACATATAGATATGTTCATGCTTACATACAGGGTTTAGGATTCTTAGGGTTTAGGTTTCTTAGGAGGTTTGGGGTTTTGGGATTCAAAAGGTTTGGCGCTTTGGCACACCATACCACCACGCGGATGCGACAATGTGGGTAACTCAGGAGTCGATTCAGTAGAGCAAGCAGTTGTACCACTGCCTAGAAAGTGTCGAAATTCTTAATAATTCCAACGGGCACCAGCACCATCACTGCCACTGCCGCCACCACTACCGCTATTTCCAAGCTCGCTACATCTCTGAAAAGTGAAGGTCCTCTGCCAATTGCGAATAATGGAACATATTATATGGGGGTTATGTAGGCAAAATGGCGAAGAGAATGGAAACTTCTACAGTATAACAGGGTGTGTGTATATATATGTGCGAATAATTTCAGTTCCCAATTCAAGGCCACTTTGGCACTGTTCCCTTTATATGCCTTACAAAAACCACCATTTAGGGTGAGGTCGGGTGAGGTCGCTATAAATGGCCCCAAATATAAGGCTGTTGTATTGCAACCAAAACACCGAGGAATTTGCCTGGCTTTTCGGCAAACTTCAAACTTCTGTTTGTACACCCCTCCTCAATCCAAAAAGGAAATGCATACAGCCCGTTTTAAACACACTGCCATCTTTGCAGGTCCGTTTTCAAGGTTCCATGTTGGTTTGGGGAGGGTACCAACAGAGGAATTAAGAATCACGCTCATATGGGTTTTCTCCTATAGACGTACAAGGTAATTCCGCCCTTATGATGCAAGAAAGATCGAAAAAGACTTTTCAAGCCTCTGATTCCACAAATAAAAGGCACATCTTCCTAACCCTCAGCCTTGACCTCCAAATCCCTAACCTGAAACCTCACATCCTAAGCCCCAAACCCTGTCGTCACCCTTAAGTAGATATAATATAGGGTATATGGGGATCTTATTATCATATACCCAAAACCATATTCTATCTACTTAAGGGGGACTATACGCCGATAAAACTTTGAAGGAAAGGAGCTTTGCTGTTGCCCAAATCTCAAGTACCCAAACATTGGGTTACTTGGGTTTAGGGTTTAGGGTTTAGGGTCCCTACATTCTTGAACTCCGGATCTCTCAACCCTAGTTCCCAAATCCCTCAACCCTAAGCCCCATACTTGGGGTTTTAAGAGGGCTCAGGGCTCAGCTGTTTCATATTGAGGCTTTAGGCTTTAGAGTTTGGGCCTTAGGGTTGGGGTTTAGGCTTCAGAATTTAGGGCTTGGGTGGAAGGGTTTGGGGTTGAAGATTTAGGCTTTCGAGTTTGGGACTTACACTTGAGGGGCTTACGGTTTGGTTTGGATTCCGGGCAAACTATCACAACCTCACCCAACCTCATCGCTAAATGGCATTTTCAAGACAATTACCAACAAATGAATATGGGGTATACGGACTATGAAAAGGAGTTCTATACAGGGACTGTATAAGTATCCCTTCCTCCATTCCTTATTAGCATAGCATTACCATTCTATTATGGTTCTAGAATTCGTGTATAACTGTGGTGCCGGATACCTCCGAGAAACCTCAACATGACATTGGTAAATATTCAGGCGTCTAGATTACAAACCCCGTTTCGAGGCAGCCAAAGTAGCAGGTTCTTCCCTGGTAGTCCTGCACAGATTACTGCAGGAAGTCTAGTGCAACTTGCAGGATTGCACTGAGGCACCTCATAACCTAAACCCTAACCCTTAACTTGGGTGTCCTTGGGTTTGTCAGGGACTTAGTGGGTTTGATAAGCTCCCACCGAGAAGGCCCATGGAAGGCTACCCGCCCCAGAGCGGGTTTACTGTAATGTGCATCTATACCTGGGGGCCTCATGCAACTTCTTGATTACTTATGACTGGATGATATGCCTATCTATGATCCTCTGACTACCTTGTGTGGGGTACCCTTTGAGCGTATGACAACAGGAAATAAAGGAAAAACTACGGAAAAAAAAAATCTATCAATCTCACGGACACGGTAGCACGGTTCTGTGAGGTCTGTGTAGGCCTCGTTTTCAAGGTAATTACTCATCTGATAACACCCACCTGGCACCTGCCGTGACATCTTCCTCACGAAGCCCTAAGGTTTAGGGTACTTAGGGTTTGAGGTTTAGGGCTTTAAAGTGTTGAGCTTCAAGGTTTGGGGTCTATACAAGGTAAGCTTACGATCTATGGCAAATCTATGGTGGGCAAATTATAATATGTATATTGACATATGTATTTGTGCATGCTCAGCGATGCTCCCAAGAAACCCTATACGCACTCACGACAACCCAACACGCAACATCATTGTGAGACGATCTTCTATTGAAACCGCCATTTCGGGGTGAGGTTGGGTGAGGTGGTGATTCATTTGCCCAGAACCCAAGAACAACCCCTAAACCTCTCAAGTGTAAGCCCCAAACTCGACAGCCTAAATCCTAAAAACCCAAAACCCCTGCCCAAGCCCAAAATTTTAAAGCCCCAAACTCCAAAGCCTGAAAGCTTAACATGAAACGCACTCTTTAAAACCCAATGTGTGGTTCCTTGAAAAACCAACGGCCAGGGCACGGCCAGAGCGACTCCGAATCCTCGTCACCTCGAAAAAGGTCATGTGCATTGGGCTTAGGGTTGAGGATTTGGGCGCATTGCGGTTGAGAGTTGAAGGTTTACCTGGGAACCCAAGAAACGAAATGGTCGTTCCCAAACAACCACTTTTCGTAGGCTAGGGTCCTGACCTAAGAAGTGGCTGTTTTGGGAACACGTATTTCAGTTTTGATTGTTTGAGTTCCCCGGTAGGGTTTCTGGGTATTGAGGTTTCGGGTGTAATAGAATAGGATTGAAGAGAAACCCTCAAAGGTCCTTTCCCATGGTGTTATTGATAGACTGTAGGTCTCCAAGTACACAGAATCTTTATAGACGTGGAACGCACGGGCGAAGGGTTCGGGATTCAAATGTTTAGGCATGTTTGGTTTGGATTATGGCTTTTGGTTTAGGGTGGAAGGATATGCAGCGAAAACCCGACTGTCGGTCCCCCTTGGGGTTGTCCATACGGCTTAAAGTCTGGGTTTGGGGTTCTCATGCAAATTAGGTTTTCTTTACTCGTGACCCCTTTGAAGCATCAAGCATCCAACAAGTGGAACGCCCAAACTGACCCCCTTTCTGCATCGAGAGAACTAGGGCATCACTGGGAGGCTCAAGGCCTTGAATCTGTTCTGAGGTTTGGGAAGAGTTTTAGATAGATAGACGGGTTCAGGTTTAGCGCATCTCACGGTCAACGAATTTTTAAAACAAGCCTTACACTTACAGGTCCAGCGTTAAGGACTGATGTAGGTGCTTAAAGCAGCGGCCTACATCTGGTTGAAAACTGGTTATGACTTCTGCCCCGTCGTACCTAGAGGGTTGGGAATTGAGAATTTCCGTGAATGGGGGGCCCCAGTATGCACCCCAAAAGACCATCTTATTTAGTGACCCGTGTAACTCACTGCTGTCTTGAGAACTACTTTCAGAATTTATCAAATCCTCTGGGGCATGGAGCAGAATCAGGTAAGTTACGAGAGAAGCGCAGAGGATAAGCGAAGATCCGCATTGGTTGTGGGCATTCAGGGTTTGGCATGGGAATTCCCGTCTCTCCTCCTCCTGAGACCCGTGATAACCTTTTGCAATTGGGAGTCTCACGTGCATGTTCCTACGTTCCACTTATGAAGACAAGTTGTTCAGAGTTGTTTTAGCTTTGGGGGATGCCTTTTCACAACCCAAAAAATGGACTAATGAAGCTTTGAACACACCAGCATGGGTCCTACTGCACGAGGAACACTGAAACACGAAGACTGTCCCGGCACATAAAGAAAATTCTTCACCAAGTGTTTAGTCACCCCTACAACGTCAGGTCCATTATTATGAGGACTGTCAACACCAAGCCGTAACATCCCCACTGTGGCATGCACTCATGCTCAATTTTTGCTGAGGGCCCCACTCCAAAGAAGCCATCAGCCACGCAGTTTAAGGTTTAGGGTTTAGGGTGATCAACCTCAACTCCAGCGATTAGTATGACCTGTCACACAGCTAGCTCCAGCTCGAAAAATCTGATCAACCTTCACTCAGCAAAGAAAATCACCGAATCTTCCTTTCTCAAACATCATTCATGGATTGATGCTGCCAACGCATGCAGACCCCTCCCTTGCAACCAAGAAAAGACCGGAACGGAGACCTTGGGCCATACGACAGCACGGGCGTAAAGCAGTTGCAAAAGAAACCTCAACAAGAGATTCCACAGTAGAAGACATGAGTGTAGGCAGAAAACTGACTCTTTGGGATGATTATCGTCTTATACTCTCTTCTATGAAAAAATTGACAACTTATCGAGTCAGACAAATCTTTCCTGGTAGTGATGCCCAGATTGCAGTTTAAGCACACACAACATACAAGCACACGAGTTTCCACAGCCTAGGATTCACAAGTGTGCTGAGGGCTTGGTAGGTGCGAATGTTCTGAGAGGGGCCACTTGCAAAGTTGGACCACATGCTGACAGAATACAGCTGGCAACCTGCAGATGTTGTAAGATGGCCTGTTGCCGATAACCGTAGTAGTTTCCATCTTCTTTTCCATTATTCCCTATTTAACCCCAATATAACCCCAATATACTATAGTAGTTTCCATTTTCTTTTCCATTATCCCCATATTATAACCCCATTTGGCCCTGTCTCATCCAACACCCCAATCTTGTAGCCTCTCGTGCTTCTGTCTGGCTCCCCCAGAAGCGTAAACACGACTGCAAGTCTGCAAGTCTGCAAGTCGCACTGCAACCGCTTCAACTGGCTTCTTTTTTCCTCCCGCTCCATTGCTATTATAGGAGAAAACCCCACATGCAGGCTGCACAGCCTGTGGAGTCCTTGGCTTCACAGCTTTGGTGTACTGCTTTCGCCTCTCTGTTGGCAAGCCCGAAGTCTGTGATGAACGCTGAGCTGACATGCGCTATAGTCTAAACTTCTGGCACCCTCCTTAATAAGCCCTATGGTAGTTCCCTATTTAGCCTTTTCTCAGGGGTTGTAGACTACAGCTCATATTGAGTCCGGGGTCAGGCCTGCCCTTGCAGAGTCTATAGACAATTTCAAAACATATCAGCTGGCCACCGGGCATGCTACTGCCCCGTTCCCAGCCACGAACTACAGGCCAGAATAATTCTTCATGAGATCCGTGATCTTCTGGAAGTAGGCCTTCCAGGTCAGGACGCGGGTCGCAAGACAAAGGAGAAGGGGGGGGCCGAGGGATATATACCGGAAGGTTTGGCGGGGCTTCTAACTCTGCTTACAATTTCCCCAACTGGACATATGAAGGTTCCTATAATCCTGGCTATACATCCTTACTGAGTCTCATGAAATTTCAAGTAAGGATTACAAGACGAGTATAGGGTTCCACCTTGAGAACTACAAGCCTCCCAGAAAATTTAGGGTTTAGGGTTGTCCCTCCCATTTTTTACGGTTTAGGGTGGTCAAAGTTATGGTCCCTTCTGGGCACCCCTGGTATAACACGGTAACTAATACTGAGGGCTTTAGGGTGCCCAAAGAGGGGACCAGAATTGTCAACAACTTCCCAAGTTGTTGAGCGTAAGCTTACTGGTGGTTGGTATGGAGGAAAGGAATGAAATCCCTGTGTACTCCCTCAACCCTGAACCATATCTATATATACATATATAGACATATAAATATATATATATATTCTCATTCCTTACAGACCCCCAGTGAGCAAGTCGTGCGAACGATCCTTCTTCAGGTCTGGCTTGTAGAAGGCAGTCAGGTGGCCTGCTCCCTGGGCGCAAGGGCATGCTTAAGGTGCCGGTTCTAAGGTTTTGGGGTTAAGGGTTTAAGGATGTTGGGGGTTTAGGGTTTTGGGGAGTTGAGGGGTTTCGGGTTTGGAGTGTTTATTTGGGATTGAGGGTTTAGGGGGCTTCTTGCAAAGCTGTGGGGGGGACTAGGGCTTTGTAGGGATGCATCAGGGCTTTCACTGGGAAATTTGTAGGGTTTAAGAGTAAGCAAGGGTTTAGGGATTCGGGCTTCCCGAAAGGAAGAGAAGAGTAGTGGTACCTTTTTGGGAATCCAGCATTATCAGAAAATGGGGACTATGTTGGGGTCGCCCTATTTAGGGAAACCACCACATGGGGGTTATAGAACTGGACCATTAAAGTATTATGGTGGGATCCTATCAGGGCTTTGCAAATGCGTTCTTGAAAAGCTCCTAGATGATGATGCTAGGTCAGTTGTTATAGTCATTACCTTGATTGACACCATTAATCATCATAATCATCATCACCACCACCGCGACCACCATCATCACCACTACAACGAACGTCGTCATTACCTTCATCAACAACAAAATCACAAAATCTTCATCATCATCATCATCATCATCATCATCATCGTCATCATCATCATCATCATCGTCATCATCGTCATCATCGTGATGCGGCAGCAGCAGGATCCCTCGCAACATCCCTGTTGCCGGCACACATCGAAGCAGAGTCATGCCAAGAATGGGTTGCTGCTAAGGACCTCAATTGAAGTTACTATATTGGGGAAACCATATTAATTACTATACATATACACTCATATATATATATATATACCCATTGTGGTAACTTACTTTTTAAGCTCCTTAACAGCGACTCAGAGAATGGTGGACCAGGCCTTCAACTCCTGGTAGTCGAAAGGCCCGGAGGTCCAGTCCTTCCAGGCCTCTCGAAGCAGGAGCACAGTAATAATAGTAATCATAGTTACAGCAAAAACAGAAATGGGAAGAGAAACAATAATAGAAATGACAATAATAACACTAACAATACAAGTAATAGTGGTAAGAATAATAGGTGTGATGATAGTAGTAATAGTAATAGTAATAATAGCAATGAAAATACTACTAGTAATATTAGTAATCATAGTAATCATAGTAAGGTCGCAGTAATTGCACGCCAAAAACGGCGGAGCACATCCACATGATGCCTCTACCATGTCTGGCTTGATGAAGTGCTCGCCCTCGCACCGCCAGCAGTGGAGCGGGAATTCGAACTTTGGCGCTCCGGCGTGCCGGAACTTGTACCTCGCCCGAGTCCACTCCAAAAACGCTCCAAAAACAATTGCACGCGAAGAGGATGGTGGATATCAAAAACCCTGCATGGCTCCAAGTACCTTGCACTTTGGGAATCATTGCATTCTTTTCTCTATGGTCACACAGCATTCTTAGTAGCAACAGCAGGCGGGCTCGTCGAAAAGCTTGAAGTCGGCTCTCATCATCGGCTCCCAGGTGTCGCCCCAGCTATCCTCAAAGACCACCTGAACAACCGTCTTTTGGGATTTCTCAAAATGGAGGGCACCAAAGACCCTAGGGATACATGCATGGGTTTAGGGTTTAGGGTTCAGGGTTTAGGGTTTAGGGAGGAGGCTTATTTGGGGGAATACCCATATTGAACTGGCTTGACATGTCCGCCCAACGGCCGTCACTCAGAAGTTTGGAGACCCAAGGCCCACCTTCGCCGCCCCGCTAAAGTGCTCCTTGTCCCAAGCCGCGACTTCCTGCAAAAACTGGGTTGCTGTAAAGAAATGTTTTTAAAATACTATAATAAGGAAGCCCCATTATCATAACTTATTGTATACCCATATTATGGTAACTTGACTTAAGTTCCTGCCCAGAAAACCAAGTTCGGGGCAGCTTTCTGCATGCTACTTTAGGTCATTCTCCCTTACAGTAACTGTTACCACAATAGGCAATAGGAGTTATAATAGGAATTACTCAAAACCCCTAAAAAACAGTTACTGTAAGGGGGCATGACCCAAATGTCACTGCGTCTCGGCCTTTCTCATCTCAGCGTCGTTCAGCCTGGCATTTTTCCTCCAAGGGCCTCGGGCGCAGTTTGCAGAGTAAGCCCTTACAAGGAAGGAACCTACAAGGCAAACCCTAAATCTAAATCAAAAACCCTGAAGAAGGGATGCCTGCGACAGCAGAGCTAGAGCTTAGGCTCTGGCGCTTGGCTTCTGGGTAGTGGGGGGCTGGGAAGGTCACCTGAGGTCAGATTTGTCGCTTCTCCAGAAATGGACAATCCTCTCTCCCAACAGTGAAGAGCAAGACACAAACCAAGATGTCTGAAACATGATGCCTCTCGGCGTCGAATCCTGAAGTTAGCTGAGAAAAGTGAAATCACTACACATTGCTCTGTAATGCCCATCTATAATCTCTATATAACCCCTCTAGAATCCCTACATAATCTCTCTAATCCCCCTATAAACCCTATGACTCTAAAACCCTATATAACCTCTAAAACCCCCCTATAATCCCTATATAATAACTGTATATTCCTCTGGCCAAGCGCCACAAACTCTTTGCCAAGCAGCAAGGAAGGCAGCTAGAGGCATCGGGATGCCAACCTGGCACAGGTAGGTAGGGATTTATGAAGCTTTACAAGGATTTGAGATTAAGGACTTAGGGTTTAGGGTTAAGGATTTGGGGTTTAGGGTTTAGAGTTGAGGGCTTAGATTGTAGGATTTGGGGGTTTAGGGTTTCGGCAGGGCTTACATGAAGGTTGTATCTGAGGGTTCATAAGGATCGTATGCGGATATATGGGAATTACCAGAGTAGAAGGGTTTAGGGCCGATAGCCCCAGTGTTGGAGGATCACGTGGACAATTAAATGGAAAATGAAATGCAAACTGGGCTTATATACAGGACTTTCAACCTTTCTGGGAATCTTTTGATTGACTCTGCAGGGATTATGCACTTCTTCAGGCAGAACATCAACATACTGAGGGCTTCACGGTTGGGGGGTGAGCGACACCTCCCTGCACCGACCCTAAACCTAAGCCCCGAACCCTAAACCCCTGAGGCACCGGCCTTCCGACAAAGCATGAGGAACTCAAAGCAAACCCAGGTTCCAACCTGCCAGTCTCCACAGCTATAACTATTGGGTTCTATGAGGATATATAGGGTTGCGTATGGATATACAGGTGTATATGGGGTTTTACGGGGATTTATAGGTGGGTTATGTAGCGATGTATAAGGGTATATGGCCCGTATAGGGATATGTAAGGCTATATCCACGCTTCACAGGACTCGCTGAGGGAGCTCACGGAGTGGCCCCAAACCATGTAGGGCACCCCATCCGTCAGCTTCTCGTACGCCACCGCCTGGCGACAATCTCCAAGTTCTGAGGATTTAGGGTTAGAGGTTTAGGGTTCAAGGTCTTAATTAGAGTTTAGGGTGTGGAGGTGAGCCCCTGGTATGGGCCCTCAATACTGGGGTCCTTAGATACCTATTGTATAACCATAAGGCCCAGGGTTAGGACATCAGAAGACCCATTGCATTTTGGCCTTGAACCGTATGAAGATTACATTTCAGGGTTTGTTCATATTTGGGGCTTCCCGAAACTAGGGGCACCTTTTGAGGGGTCCTCATAGGAAGAGCTATAGTATTTTGAGGTCAATATTGATTGGGGTTTAGGGTTTAGGGCCCCTATTTTGGGAAGCTACCATATAGGGCTTCGGGGTATGACCCCGATAGTGGAGGATGACATGGAGACGAAATTGGAAACTTCAATCGAAACCGGAGTACAGAGATTCCTCTCTAGGCGTGTTAAGGGATCTTTCGAGAAACTCCTGTCACCCACAGACGTGGATAAGTTGGGTTCTGCCAACACCCATGCCAACACCCAGAAAGAGTTGCATAACAATTCTATTATGGTTGTGTAGGAATATTCATATATATATATATACATATAGATGCTCATATGAAAATGCATATATATATATATACATACCCTGCTAATCATTCTAATAAACCCCTAAACCCTCACATCCTAATCCCCAAACCCTAAACCCTCAATCCTAGTCCCTAAACCCTAAACCCTCAAACCCTTGTCCCTAAACCCTGTACCCTAAACCCTAAGCCCTAAACCCTAAACCCTAAACCCTGTACCCAGTCAAGGCCCACCAGCAGATCCGGAGCCAACGTCTCTGTGGTGGTGTGCTTCGTGGCCTTTCACATTGAGGTTTTAGGGCTCTACTATATCAAGGGTTATATTAGGGATACATAGGGGTCACGTAGGGATAATGGAAAAGAAAATGGATACTACTGTTTAGGGTTCAAGGCTTAGAGGTTTAGGCTTTTGGGTGTGCGGTTTTGGGGTTTAGGGTTTTGAGATTTTGCGGAGCTCAATCAATAACCCTATCTATTGCAGTCCGGATCATTTATCCCTAAAAAAGGGGTGCCCTGATTTTTGGAAGCAACCAGCTGTGTCTGGTGCACTTTCTGTAGCTTACCATGAGTATTTGCTTACGGTTTCTTAGCAGGAAACACGGGAATATAATCCCCATATAATACCTGTATACGCTTTGCTCTTTTTCCCTACTAACCCTAAACCCTGAATCCTAAACCCTAAATCCTAAACCCTAAACCCTATATGGTAACCAACAGTTTGGCGCCTTGAGCAGCTTGTCTCGTCCCGGATAGTCGAAGGCCATCAGCTCTATCTGCCTGTCTTATTGGTTAGTAGCAGGGAATATGATCCCTACATAATATACGGTTTAGGGTTTGCGGCTGTGGAGGGGATGGTGTGTACACCCGACCCCAAGAAGCAGTTGGCTCAGAAGTATAGCATGAACCTATACAGCTTTTTCTGTGCCCATCACAGACGCGTACTGGGTAAGGGCAAGATCTTCTTAATGAGGTCTAAAGGATCCTGAGCGTAAATCTCCCCAGACTCAAACTCCTCCGCCTCCCCACATTAAAGTTCCCTAAACCCTAAATAAATCCCAAAGTCCCTAAACCCTGAACCCTTAATAACCCCTAAACCCCAAACCCAAACCGTAAACTGCTAGATTCCGTGGTTCAGGAAGATTGGGTGCAGTTCAGATGCTTGGTCTCCTTGATCCAGTTGATGAAGGGCGTGCCCGGCCTGAGCACATCCCTAGCATCCCTCAAAATTGTGCGTTTAGTGTTCAGGGTTTAGGATTTAGAGTTCAGAGTTCAAAGTCCAGGGCTTGGGTTTAGGAACTAAAGTTTCGGGTTCAGGTTTAGGGTTTGGGGTTTAGGATTTAGGGTTCAGGGTCCAGGGTTTAGGGTCTGAAATTTAAAGTTTAGGTCTCAGAGTTTAGGGTTTGGTGTTTAGAGTTTACCTTTTCTCCAGTGCAAGCCTCTGCTAGGGCAGCTTAAAACTATCTTCCAGGCATTTGACACAAGCAACTTTCCCTCTCATTGCATGGCGGGTACCCAGTCTACCTTCGAAAACACATCTACACGCGGGTACCCCAAGCCACCACGCACTTTTAGGGTTTGGGGCTTAGGGTTTAGGCTCCTTGTATGCACCGCAAAGAAACTATGACCCTCACTCCAAGTACCCTCCAAAAAGGACTCCCAAGCTGGAGAAAACGTTGCACAAAAAGCTAACATTATTTTAGTTGGTACAACATTCATACTGGTCCATCTAGATGGATGTATATGTGGATACACAAGTGTAAACACCTGTATATTTGCATCTGTATATGGGCATAATATCAAACACGCTTCTCCCAAATGTTTAGTAGAACCCGGAAAAAAGCGAGAGGTTAGACCTCCCCTCCTGCCTGAGGCTCAAGTGAAGTGGCCTGTATGTGGGCTATAGTCTGAACTCCTTAAAGGGGTGTTATATAAGCGGTTATATAGGGTAGCATTGTAGGCTTGATTAAGTGAGGATACTAGGAGTTCAGACTATAGCTCATATCATCCCCTGTAATAATCCCTATGACTCCTTCCCGTATTCCCTAATGCCCTTAACCCTAAATCCTAAACCCTAAGCGCAAGCTCAACCCTTAAACCTCACTGAGTCCTGTGACCCTGTGTAGATGGACTCTGCACTGCCGGCATTGTGGAAACACAAGATTCGCAGCTTGGGCTTGTCCAACGGGAACCCAAGGACCTGCTCAGACAGTTTTGGGGGGTTTTAGGGTTTAGGTTAGGGTTTAGGGATTTAGGGTTTTAGGATTTAGGGTTTAGGGTTCATGGATTTAGGGTTTAGGGATTTAGGGTTGGGAGTTCTATAAGTAAGGGTACCTACAATGAGAATTCTACTGTTTTGGAGTCTAAATTGGGACCTCCTGTTTTTGGAAGCTCTCATCTAATCTAGTGTAAAAGATTTGTAAAGCCAAACGTCACCCACGCACAAAGACGGAAGAAAATCATCTCCAATTGTCAAACAAGCAGACGACATGTCAACTGTCGAGCCTTGTACTTCATGCAGTAAAGCAAAAGAGCGCCCTCGTCTTTTTTCACCTGCGCCATGCTTCCATGAACAAACTGGATTGCTGTTAAGTTACTTAAATCAAGTTACCACAATGGATATATATATAGTAATAAATATGGTTTCCCCAATATCTTATCTTAAACTAAGTTCCTTGAAAGCAACCCCGTAAACTCTAAACCCTAGACCCTAAACCCTAAACCCTAAACCCTAAACCCCTAAACCCCTAAACCCCTAAACCCCTAAACCCTAAACCCCTAGACTCCTAAACCCTAAAGCCTTGGTGACGGTAGCGCGAGGCCTTGGCATCAGCCTCAACCTTGCTCTTGAGGGCGGCATCAGTCTCCACTGCTCCAGGGGCATCTCCTGCGAGAGCGCTGGAGCCGGCTGCATACGCCTATGAGCCAAACCCTGAATTTAGCATAAACCCTAAACCCGAAACCCTAAACCCTAAACCCTAAACCCTAAATTTAGGGTTTAGGGTTCAGGGTTAGGGCTGTAAGCCACAATTCTGTGGCGTGGAGCTAAGGGAGCTCATATCTAGCTTTGCAGACTGGTCCTGGTCCGCCCACGTCTTCAGCTGGCGCATCATCTTCGTCTTTCCTCACCACAAGCTCCTGCATTCAAATGTTAGGAGCTCCCAAAAAGGACCCCTAATGTATGGAAACCCCACATCAGTCATGACTCCCCAGCTTCGCATGAAGCAGGCACGGATAGCTCGATCCACAGAATCATAACTCTGTCAGATACCCTGTGCCTAAGCCCTAAATGCAAGATGAACGTAAGCCCCAGATAACCCTAAACTCTAAATGACCCTAAAACCCTTAAATAGCCCTGAACCTGAACGCTCTGTAATTCCTATACAATCCCACAACCCTAAACCCTGAACAAAAGTCCTTCCCGCTAACCTTCAGGCTGATCCATCCCTCTTCGGGACCAGTGCCTTTCCAAGTAACCGAGCGGATTAGGGGTTTAACCCAGACCCCTGATTAATAAACCCCCTCCCTTACTAGGGATTATAATAGGGATCCTAATATTAAGGCCTTTAAAAGGAGGGGGGTTTTAATCATGGGTCTGCACTACGGTTCATGGTTAAGAGTTTAAGGTTTAGGGCCCGGGGTCTGGGGCTTGGAGTTTAAGGGTTCAGGAGTTCAGGGTGTAACCCAAAGGTTCGGAAGACCGGCCATCTAGCCTAGTTCCATTTCCTTGTCCATGATCTTTTCCATGTCATTTAACCCTAAACCCTAAACCCTAAACCCCCTTGCAAATTTTGGCCTGGGGCCAGCTGAGTTACCCGGTGGCCCGGTAGGTTCAAGGGTGGCCTCGAGTTAGGGTCGGGGCTGTGTCTGCATGTGGTGCATATATGGCCTAATACTACCCAATGGTATCCCTATATAACACCTAAATAACCCGTTATAGTAGTTCCCATTTTCGTCTCCATTATCCCTATATAACCCTTATATAACCCATTATAGAAGTTTCCATTTTCTTTTCCATTATCCCTACATAACCCCAATAATTTCCGAAGGGACTTGAGGAGGTGGCTTCACATACTCCCCCACTCACCGACTATCCGGGAGGCGCCTGTGAGGCGCTTGTAGTGGAGGCGCTCACCCACGAGCTTCAGCTCTTCAATCTGGCCATGGAGTCAAGCTGCCATAGTTCTGGTTAAGAAACGCTGCTTGAGGGAGTAGAAGGTCCTATCACCCCAGGAATTATGGGTTTATGGTTTAGGGTTTAGGGAACTATTCATTTGAAATTTGTAGTGTAGTACAACAATACGACTTTGCATTGCATAACATGTTTTTGAGTTTGGGTTAAAAGGTATGCAGGCAGAGGTCCTATCTAAACCATCATTTTGACAACCCCTCTCCATTTACATCTAGCCTTGCTGGTGATGAGCCAGCGGCACCTCTTGTGCAATGATTCTTCGTGCATTTCCTGGTTCCATTCTGTGATCCATCAAGTCAGAGTTATCTAGGTAGGCATACTACAATCACTGGTGCTATCTATACCACAAATTACAGAAAATCCAGGACATTACCTGGTCAGAACCTTGGCTTTGCCTGACCTAGGTAGTAATCCTCGTTGTGTTAAGGGCATTATTAGGTGTGCAGTTACCAGGCAGGTAGTGTTACACTAGGCTTGCGTAAATCTTAGATGAGGAGCCTAGGAAGATACAAGAGCTATGTAAGACCTATATGGGGGAAGTGTCCACTTGAACTTTCCTGAGGTTGTTGAGACTTAATGAAGAGATTTATAGTGGGGACAGCTACGGTTACTAGATGGGTTATAGGGGTTTCTCGCCTACTGACTAAATCCCCTTGAACGTTCCCAAGCCCTAAACCCTCAAACCTCAATTGGATGTAGCAGTTTCCATTATCCTTTCTAGTATTCCCATATAACTCCAAGATTACCCCATTATTACCCATAATGATCCAAGTTTCCATTTGATTTTCCATTTTCTCTTTCCATTTGATTCTCCATTACTGGGATAATATCCCAATATTTCTGCGTCCCCCAAATAGTTGTGGGTTTGGGGCCCTAAACCCTAAACCCTAAACCCAAATCCTAAACCCTAAACCCTACTAAAGCGAGGCCCAAGACCGCTAAGGCTATGGCTCGCCTAGATCTGGGAGTCTGCCTAGATTACTGCTCTGACAAGGGGGAAGACCTGTTTAAAGGTTAGAAGTATAGGCCTCAAAAATGGGCCCTTAGCCCATTTAGGAGGATTCTAGGGACCTTTAAATGTGCCCATACTAGGGGCCCTGGTTTTAACCTTAGACTTACATGGAGGTTTTCAAAAACTAGGGCCCCTTCTTGAGAGCCCGGAAAGTATGGATTTCAGAACATGAGGTCCATGTCGGGGGCTGCCCATTTCGGAAACCCTGAGTCTGTGCACGGGCTGCATTTTCTGACGCTGCGAAGCTCATCCGCGGGGCCTGGGATTCAGTCACAAATACAGGTGTATTTGCTGGTGCCTACACTGACGAGCAGCAGAAAGTAAGTATGCTATCATATGGATTTCAAATAATGCCCTGACTTACTTTCCCGAAGTGTGGAGCATCGGCCATACCATTCTGCTTTCAGCCAGGCCACCCTCCTGGTGCCGGAGGACCACCCTGCTGCCACTTGACCTTCCACACGCGTCTGTGCTTCTTTCTCAGAACACGCATTTTCTACCAGCTTCTTCCACGAAATCTCACACCACCAGCTTCTGCATCCACTTACCATCCAAATTGCTGTAGAAAGCTCCTTCGAAGCGTAACTTGGCCTGCAACAACTCCGAGAGGAAGTTCTGAAAGAGCGGGACCATCACGGGCTGCTCAGAGCAACACGTGGCCCTGACCTCACAGCTCCCTACTTGGGGGACCCCCAGAAGTAGGCCTACCTCTATGGGGGTCCCCATAATAAGGATTAATTTGGTTTCTTTTGGGGTCTGTATTGGGTTCCCCCAATTTGGGGAAACAACCATTTGAACTGGGGGCTACGGAAGAATCCCTATATCATCACTACGCAGAATCACTGGAGCTTGTCTTATTAGGTGAGGCACCAATTGTAGATTCATGAATCCATCTGATCGGAAGAGTAAAGATCAAGCTACAAGTGTAATGAACACGCATACGCTGTGATTTCAAAATTCCCTCGCTGTCTAGCCAGCTCTACATCGGGGTTTGGAGCACAGCTTGACGCACGGATCTACATCCCGATAAGATATTCTCACATGGTGGGGAAAGGAAAGCCTGCATGCAGCATAGTTGGAGGCATAAAGCACTTGGTCCCAGGCTCCAGGTCCATTCTTCTGCAAGCTAAGCTCGCAGAAGACGGTGAGCTTGTTGGTGGCGGTGCCTTGGCCACAACGCTGGAACATCACAGCAGCAGAAAAACAGCAGCATGATGGTCATACCAACAACAGGCGCGATAGTAATGGTAGCGATGTCGTGATCTGTGAATAGAATTCATGTTCACAGTGACAGGAGTCATACAATCACATGTACTAGCCATACTAGTCATAGACCGCAAGCTGCCAAAGGGACTTGGGGACTGGGGGGCCGTTGGCTTGTTCAGCATCACCTACTGTAGCCTCATTGGGATTGGATGAAGCCTCAGACCCTAAACCCTAAACCTACATCCTAGGCCCTCATTCTTCAAGCATCCGACAAACCTCACTGCTGGGTCTCGGACAGCTGACATAAAGCGAATCTGCCTCCTGGCCCTGGCCACAGGACCTAAACCCTAAACCCTAAACCCTAGGGTGATCTCTAGTTCAAATCCCTTCGATTCAACCCTCTGCTCAAGAAGGACAAGAACTTGCCATCCTAAGGCATGAATATGGGGCTTTCCCTACGTGACTCGTACCTTTTGGGGGTCCCAAAGTGAGGACTACAGTATTTCGAAGTCTAGATTGGGATCCCCCTACTTATGGAAACTGCCATGCACTACTACTACACCATCTAAAGTCAAAAGCATTGCCTGGCTTCGCGCAAATGACTGTTGTGGCACGTTGCACTGACAATAGCACCAATAGATACCAATAGTACAAACAGCCCAATTGCAATAAGGAGCAGGCAGGACCGGTAGATATGATACTCTCCATGCGGAAGGGAGCCCCGATACAGGCCCAAAATCGTGTAGTTCTCATTATTGGGACTCCCAAAACCGGGCCTGAAATTTTGGAAACACCCATATGCAAGGATGGCAAGCGCTTTGGCCGCTGCCAGGGGCATTCAAGATTCCCAAAGGATTGACCCCATCCGCCTGTGCCCTCCCTGGCACAAGCCAGCATGGCACGCTTTCCCTCCACACTGCGTTCACTCAGTTTGGACGTCCCTGAATACAAAGTCCTGCACGCTTCAAGCGGGGCTTTGGGATCTGATTGCCCTACCACGACATTCTTACAAGGGTCAACTCACAGTAGCCCAAGTCGGCACCAGGAGGGACATCCTGCCTGCGTCTTGGCAACCACATAGACAAAGTACTGCTGCAGCCTTGCCACTCCAGCATGACCCGAAGTCATTGAAAACAAACAGGTGACTGTTGTCATGGATTTTCAGGATCATCGCTACATTTTCGTTATGTGGACTTAGACGAGCAGCCCCCGCCATCAACTGCCTAGCACCTGCTGGTACACGTAGGATTAAGCGCAAACACAAGTGCCGGAAGAGGTCTCTCTCCCGGTCTCTTCGCCGTCGCAGGGACGCCGGAGACCCGCATGGAGACGTTGTAGCATTAGTACTACTGTAGTATCAGTACTTTTCTGCACTCAATTATATAAGGATCCTTATTGCAACATACATGAGGGTTTCCCAAAATTCGGGGTACCATTTTGGGGGTCCCCATATGGGTGGTTGTCAAAATTATGGCCCCTATTTGGATCCCTATTATAATACGGCACCTAATATTTAGGGTACCCAAAAAGGGACCATAATTTTGACAACCACCCATATTAGGACTATAGTATATTGGGGTATACAAGCATAAACCCTCCCTGATTTTGGGAAAGTACCAGACGAGCTTTGTTGATGCCATGCTCAGCCCAGGACCTGGTGGCAACCATCTCAGGGGTAACCCGCTGTGCAAAGGCACCTTGACACATGGCCTGCCCGGGCAGCAGAACACGCGGTTTCGGGTTTAGGATTTGGGGTTTGCGGTTTAGGATGTAGGATTCACCCTTTTCTGGGTTTGGGGTGTAGGGTTTAGGATTTGAGGTCTAGGGTTTAAGCTTTGGGCTTTGGGGTTTAGGTCTAGAAGTTGTTCAAGCAACTTGTAACTACACCTGCCAAGGCAGAGCCAAAAGCCTGGGAAAGCAGAACATGCACTAATGCTAATCTCCCTGATACTATAGTATATTGGGGTTATATTGGGATAATGGAAAAGAAAATGGAAACTACTATAGTATATATGGATTAGCTTTGAAAACAACCCCCCCACCCCCGAATATTCAATGTGGCCCCCAATATGTAAGGTCTCTTATGGGGGAATATTGAATATTGGGTTGTTGGGGGTTGCTTACTATTAGTAGGGGGGGATTACGGCAACCATTCTGGCCTTTTGTGCGGACTGATTCTGCCAGACCCGCTGGAAGTCATCTTTGGGAACTGGCCCGCTGTCCATGAGCACCGCAGACAAGTCGTAAGGGACCTGAACAAGTGGCGTTTATGAGAACTGAGGGCTTAGGCTTTGAATACATTTTGCTGGCAAAGGCTGCTTGCAGAAAGGGTACGTTGAAATAGAAGATATCGACGCTGGTCTTTATCGCCACCTGCAGGCCAACTCAGACGCTCCCTACCCCACCAAACCAGAGATGCTGGCTCTGCAAAACTCTTAGGGGTTTAGGGTTCCGTGATGTTTCGTGCTTAGGTTTTGGGGTTTAGGGTTTAGGGTACAGTGATAGCACTACTTAAGAAAACATGGGGTTAAGAAAGTGAGAGTCTGGGCTCGGCTCCGAAAACCCCAATGTCACAAAGCTAGATGCGCTACTAAAATAAGAAAATGAGACCCCCCTGACCTACATGCGGC